GAGAGGGAGAGAGAGAGAGGCAACATCATGTGTGGCATATCATGAAACAAGCTGGTCCGGAAACTAAGCAAACAGATGGGTGGATAGTAGTCTTGGTGTTTCCCTTTCTGAAAATTAAGTTTGACACCGACAGAAAGCAACCCAAAGATATATGTTCTCATCCCTCCCACTGTCTCTCTCTCTCACTCTCTCAACTTTTTTCCCTCTGTATCTTTCCATGGTGTGAGAATAATCAGGCTTCCCAAATTATTTAACCATCGATTCCACCCATCATATGATCGATTGTCGAGAGAAGTCGAGAAAACTAATATTATTAATGTAATTGGCTAATTGTTTCATACAATTAACCATGCTAGCAAGATCATTTTGCTAAACTTATCTTTTCCATTCCCATTTTAAGTAGTTAAATTAAACCAATATGCAATAGAATATTGGATAAGTAAAGCCAGAACGAAAGGCAGGAAGAGAGGACAGATGAGCAGGAGAAATGAGTACTGAGATGTACACATCATTATGATGCAAACATAAAAGAACATTAATTGTGTGGCTTACTTAGTGATAGTAAGTGGTGCATAGGTATACTAGGAAATCTAGACCGATATATAGATATGAGGTGACAGTATTGATTTTTTTTTCTTGTTGGATTATAATGGATTTTTCGCTTTGATACTTTGGTGCGGTCAAAATAATTAACGTGCTTTTTTTATGGAGAATGTTTATAAACACCACAATAATAATTATATGCATGTGAAATATTTCGCCTTGATGGTACTTTTTTTGTACACACATTTTAGTTGGTTTTTTCGCTTCTTTTGAGGAAAAATGGTACAAGATGTCGACACAATATAAGTAGAAAGTCAAGAACATTTACTACTGGAGTGAGCAACAAGATCGTCCGAGAAAGAAAAGGTAAGCAAGTTGTTTCTCATTCACTTTTTTGAAACTAGGAGACCAAATAGTACAACACAACTAGATCTTATTTGGAACAATGCCTTTTCTAGTTCATGCATTTCAGAGTCTTAAGGTAACCCACCTTTAATTCCCGTTATTTCCTATGTATTTGGATGTTTCCAAAGGACCCTCAAGATGAGCAGATGAACCTAACATTAATGAAATTCCATAACATTGAATAAACCAAATTACCTTTTGTCAAGCCTAACAGAAACACCGAAATCGCTAAAAAAAAGCGGCGGACACCTGAACCAGATTCACATTGAAAGCTCCGATAAACCATTTGTAACCTTTGAACGTGGTGGACACATCAACTAATGCTCCATTAAAGGACAATTAAGAGAATCTACAAAATGTAGAATTGAAGGGAAATAGTACAGGAAAGCCTGGATAGTAAGTAAAATACACAAGTTCATGTCATTGACGACTTGAATCTACACGGTAAGAATAAATTTTCCTTTCAAAAATAAAAGTGAGCTAGTTATTTCTCTTACCCTCATTTGAACTTTCTATATCTACCATTTTTTACAACATCAGTCCGACATATAAAACCTAGGAATATTTGTGTGTGCTAGCCAATATTGCTTATCCTTCCGCTCCAACATTGCTTTGAGATCTGTGCTAGCCAACTAACTTACTACATGAATGATTTTTGTCTTTTAGTTTCTCTCAAATGAAAGAACATATGGACTTCAAACTTTGTAGGTCCATAGAACTATAGAACCATAGTGTATGAATATTTTTGGATTCTTTGGTCTACCAGAAATATACAAAACAAGATCTTCATTGAGAAAAAAAAGATTATTTAAAGTATTTATGGTTCATGTGAAAAAATCTGAAAGTTTTTCCTCACATTGCAGTTGTAATGTTTTCTTATCATGCAAAGTTTGAAGTTCATATGTAGCTTTATTTGGGAGAAACAAAAAAGAGAAAAGAGTCTGCATGGATCACGAAGCAGAAAA